TGGGCCCTATGTTCCGGGTGCTGAAGTGCAAAGTCACCTCGTACGCAAGCAACAGCGGCCTGTCGCGCCAGTCTGGCGATCGCAGCCAGAACCAGTCGGGGACGCTCACCAGCAGCAACTGGCGAGGCAAACGGGGCCACGAGTTCGACGACGAGGAGATTGTCTCGTCGGCAGGGATGCACTCGAGCGTCGATGACATCCCGCTCGTTGCCACGGCGAAGCCCGTCGCGCGATATCATGAAGATCCCTTCAAGGATCAACGACAGTCGGTCGATAAGCCGGCGGGGTATGCCTACTAAACAACACCTGAACTTCATGGCCCTCGTCGTTTGTGCCCCGAAAAACTTGTTCGTTCAGGGAAATAGTGCTTGACGATCATCTGACAACGCCCCGTTTACGACTCATTTACACAATTCTATTTTACTCTTTTTTGTTGTTACCCTTTTTGTGTCTTTTCTTTTGTGTTACTACCATGAACTAAAACCCTCAATATCCCCTCTCTCTCTGCCGGCTAAAGAGGAAAATGGGTTGGGGGCATGGGAATCATGAAAAAGAACAAGTGCATCGACATCCGTCCGTCAAACTCGTACCGGAAGTGTGTGCGATAGGAGGTGTTTGCCCGGTGCAGGTTGATTCATACAAGGTAAATTGGGGGTCACCAGGACAGAGAAAGAGGGAACTGCATGCTGCAGGGGGCTAGTCAGGCACGGAGGCGTCGTTTACCGGGGTGGCTGAATATACATGTAAGGTGTAATGTCCGCATACATGTGAGCTATCATCGTTTGGGAATAGGTGTCGGGAGTTGTCATTTTTTTTGTTGCACCCCCCTGGTCGACTTATTTGCAGTCCCGGCTGCGAGGTTGAGCCGCGGTCGAGGGAACAAGGGCAGGCGGGCCATTCGCTCCGCAAAGACAAACGGACATTTTTCAATTGGGAGGATGGATGGGAGGGCTGCTATCGATTTGATTCCCTTTTTTTTTTTTTTGTTGTCGTGGATGGAGAGGCGGAAACTGTCATTATCATAGAGGCTGGTTCAGAACCTGTACTGTACATAAAGCGATACTATCAACTTGTTAGAAATTTACCAACAAGATCGCCATAACACGCAACCTTACCCACGTGCCGCCTCTCAATTTCCAACCGGATGGATACCGTTCTTGAATCGCAATCACTGGAGAAGAGACTGTTCAATCTACAGTAACGCAACTACTTCGGCGAAGTGCTCCTCGGCGTGCGGAGCTCCCCATCCCTGCTAGTCACAACTTGTGCCGTTGCAGAAGAACCAGGTGCCAGGTCATGCCAGGGCACCATGCAGGTACTAAACAGTTACTCAACACCAACTAAAAAAGTCGCTTGACAAGGGGAGACGAAGGGAAGGGAAGTGAAGGACACCAAAAGCAAAAGAAGGGCAAAATACGTTCGTATCGTAGCGTCCCTTTTTGGGGCACTGATGTGCAGGCCCGCCTCTCGCCTTTCTCTGCCGTCTTTTGACGAAGGAACCAGCTGAGAATGACGGCAACAAAGACGCCACTAGATCTCTTTTCTTTTTTTTTTTCGCCTTCGTAACTAGCTGTTCTAAGCTGGAAATGTCTTGGATCGATATCCACGCAGTGCCCGTTTTTTGTTTGCATTATACTCGTACGTACGCACTCCAAGGCCAGCCCGCGCGCGCCATGTGTGATGTATCACATTCTAAGCTTTTTTGCCAAGAAAAAAACTTGGGGGAAGGTTGTTGCTTGCTTATTGCCGGTCCGTGACGGAGTTTCTGAAAAGGCGCAGCAATCTGGATGGGATTCTCGCACGCCATTATGCCTGGATGACATATAGCAGTCTTGTCACCTTTCAGTCACAGTTTAGCCCCTTTGGAAGTGCGGAGAAAGATGGATGACACCCTCTTTCCTTTTCTCCTTGCGCGTGCCTAGGTATCATCGTCTCACACTGTTCCGCCAGCCGTTTTGGCCATCACAGTCGCATTGGCATACTTCGTACCCCAGCCACAATGCTGCCCATGTTGCGACGGCACATGCATGTTCGATATAAATTGCCTTGCTAAACCCGGAAGCTTTTGCTGTATAGAATTGCTGATTCGGAAGGCTGCAGCAGCAGCAGCGCCCCCCAAGCCTTGTAAGTTCCGGAATCCTCTCTGGGGTTGACAAATTGGGAATATTCTACGCGGACTGCTCCAAAACAGCAATTCACCGCTGGGTTCTTGCAAAATGCAAGACGTACCTCAGAGACCGTTTGTCTCGTCTATGTCCCTTGGCCGATCAAAAGCTGAGCGCACCCGTGCGCGCGGTGAGGTCCCCCCCCCTGGAGTATACACGTATATAGCGCGGGGGGGAGGAGACTAAACCGGAGGGCCTTGTTCCGGAGACAGCCTTAGGTCGAGAAGGTTATGTCGAAGCGGGAATCGCCTCTCCGTGGGCGGCGGAGAATGAGTGGGATGGGACCGGCTTCTTGGTGCGGCCGAGTGGCCAACAAGCTGTGAGATGTTGCCTTGACAGCTCCGTGACCCTGGCTCTCATAAAACTGTAATTTTCTCCATTGTAGCGGGCTCCAGCGGCCGAGTCATGCGTAGCAGTCTCGATTGTGCTAGCATCAGAGTGCCTGCATTCTAGACAAGCTACTACAAGAAATTAGCCAGGTAAAGATGTGATACATCAGAACAGACCGCAACGTTTTGCAAAAAGACAGCCTGATTTGCCCAGAGCTTCATCCTCCTTGGCCCGAGTTCCTGGAACGGGGTTCGGAGCATGACCTAGAAGGAGGACACTTTTGCTCCTCTGGAGAGATGTTGAGTGTTGGTCCATATTTCATAGTCGCCCACGAGACAAATTCATCGTGGAGCCTCTTGTCTTGAGTAGGAATCTCAGCTCGTTAACGAGTTCGGTTCCGCCGGCATCTGGATGGAGAGAAAAATGACCCCGTCGAGCTGACTATGGCTCCTCGCTCGGCACGTGGCGAGAATGGCCAGAATTGTTCATGATCTTCACGAAATCATCGTATCACAAGACACCGTTAATCTGGTACCATCCTACGGGTAAGACTGTGGCATCAAGATTACCTTTAGGGTTGAGTTTCGTACGGACTTGACGAGGGCTGAATCCCGTGTCGTTACACACTATTGTCTCTTGGAAACAATAGCCTTTACACTTAGGAGACCAAACGGTCAAGGAATATGGCACGGCAGATAAGGAGTTGGCTACTGATTCACGTGATGAACCAATAGTTCGCCATGACACTCCTTGGTAACGCCCGACTGCCGGATATTGAAACCAGGACTGGACAAGGGTGTGCCTTCTGGAGCAGACATGGGCCTCGGAAGAAAGCCATCCAAGTATGGAATATGGAGTAGTCATAGGAGTTAATTGATGATCTTGAGGCGGTCAGTTCCAGGCTCGTGTTGATTTTAATATGTGTTACAGGTGAAGATCGGGCACAGACGAGTGGAGTCTCACCACGGTCAATGAAAGGGTACGTTGCTCCGATCCTTGACTCGGTTCGCTGGGGTAGCCTCAATGTATTATCCCTGCTGCTCATCTCCTTGCTTTTTTTAAGATTTGCTGGAGACTCGCTCTTCTCCGTAGGGCACGGAACTTATTGAACGGTTTGCTGGTACCGTTACGTATCAAGTACGTTTCAGCTGTTGGAAAGTGATTGCGCGGGAGAAAACTGTCAAAAGGCATGCAATTACTCTTTGTGGGACCCTTGCCATGATAACAGCGATAAGGAGCCGCGGCTGACGTAGCTTTTAGCCGCTGTAGAGCAAGACTTTGTCATCTTATCATCAGGACTGAAGGTTTTGAAATAATATGTCGGCTCAATGCTTGGATGCTTCGAATAGCTCAGATCTCTTTCACGCCTCAAACTGTCTCAGCGGGCATCAATTGTGCAAGTACCATAAGACGTGTTGTCGAAAGTTCTTGACCGTGAGTAGCCGTTCTGCTCATTGAGGGTTTGTCTGTTGGTTTGTTTTCTATTAACAACCTTGTTGTTCAATGAAATGCATGCTGATATCGTGAGTGTCTAGGGTAATCTTCAGAGGAGTTGCTCTCGCGCGCAAGTACCATCGCGTATGGATGTAGTATCAAGACAGCATCAAGACGTCGTCGATGCATTCTTTCAAAGTTGCGGATTTGGCAGTGTGGAATGGCCGGCAAAACATAGCTTTTATATGTTGCTAGGACGGTATTCTTGGCTTTCTCACCACGGCAAAGTCAGATGCCGTGTAAGATAAGAATAGAAACGACATCATACCATTGCTGACCATTTATAACAGAGTTCGCAGCTCTGTCTGCCGGAGAACGATCACACGGCAGATCACACGGCAGATCCAGCCTCGATCGCTCACAATGAGCAGCTTATATCGGAGTTAATTCGATATCCTGAGCTCTTTTCTCCTAACCAAACTTCTTTATTAGTACGGCTGAAGCCTCATCAGGACGTATTGGATTAGTCAAAACGAGACCAATCACGCCTTAGTGGAGATGATGTGGCGACTGCACGGGCCGCTGGTCTCACCCGTCGCATTTGATTGGCCAATCAATATTTCCAAAACGGGACAATGGGCATAAATTTGATCGAAAAGAGACCTATTTTGAGCCTTTTTGAAGCTTTGCAACTCATATCTTGTCATTGGTGAGAAAATGTTGTTAAAGTTGAGTTGATAGAGTTCTCTCAAGAATATGGGAAACCTGCCCGCGCTGACAAATTAGCCATTTGTCAGGAGCATAGCAATGGCCGAAGGGTCTGACGGAGATAAGCTGCTGGATGTTAAGCCCCTCACGACTCCATTGATTGGGTAAAGAACGGAAGTTCGTTGCCGTCAACGTTGCCGTCAACATCCAAAAATTTCGTCGGTGTGTTTTGTTCGCGCAGTCGGTCATTTATAAAGGAGGAGAGAGAGGGCGTTGAAGAGCCCAAGTCGCTGAGATCGCAGCTTTCTTCGCAGGAGAAGAGACGATTTGAAAGACAAAGACGACCTGCCGGAACCGATAGCGATGGCAACGACTGCAGAAGACACCACGGGCGAAAAGGCTTCAACCGGCCTCTCCAAGCTCCTCTGGACACCACCGTGGTTGAGATGGAATCCAGAACAGAACTTCGAAATGTCATGGCCTCTGACTTGTATTTTTGGATTTGTATGATGAACATACCCTTGACCTTTGCGATGGCGATGCTGATAGACGATTCCAGGTGGCAGCCTTTAGTGTCGCAAACCTCTACTATACACATCCAATTCTTCACATCATAGCGGAAGATTTCGGCATTACGGATGAGCGGGCTTCGCTGGTTCCAACAGTGTTGCAGGCTGGCTATGCTACCGGCTTGCTCTTCATCGTCCCCGTTGGCGATATTGTGCGCCGCCGGCCGATGATCATAAGCTTGGTTTTCGTGACATCGTTGTTTGTAAGTTGATGGGGCATTGGTCACCTTTTCCGTTTCCTCGAAATCTTTGCGATTGACAATTTGAATGATAGTGGCTTGGCTGTACTTTGACGAAAACGTTTGAATCCTTCCTCGGCTTGTCCTATGTCGTTGGTCTCTTCACCGTCACACCGCAACTCATGTTTCCTCTGACTGTGCGCTATGCCCCGGCTCGACACCGACCCACCATGACCGCCATCGTCATGTCTGGGCTCGTCTTTGGCATTCTGGTAGCTCGATTGCTTTCCGGTATTGTGACGGAATACACAAACTGGCGAAACATCTACTGGATGTCGTTTGGCTTGCAGCTTGCAATTGTACTTACCGCCTTCTTCCTGCTGCCAGATTTTCCTGTGTTGCGACCAGGAGCGTCTTATCCCAGTATCCTTGTAAAGATGGTAAAGCTGCCTTTCCAGCAACCCGTGCTAACGCAGTCGGCGCTCATTTCTTTTTTGCTCATGGGAATGTTTACTTCGTTCTGGACTACCTTGACGTTTCAACTCGCGGGGCCGCCCTTCCATCTATCGACTCTTGTCATCGGTCTTTTCGCCCTGGTGGGTATGTCGCCGGTTCTCTTCAGCCCAATCTTTTCACGACTGGTGATGACACGCCTGCATCCGAGCGGCACCTTGATCATAGGGCATATCATACTACTCGCGGCGGTTTGTATCGGAACCTTTACTGGCACTTTTTCGTTGGCCGGACCTGTCATCTGGGCGAGTATCGGAGACTTGGGTATGAACATTGTAACTGTTTCGAACCGAATGGCATTTGCAAACGTGGAGCCGACTGCCCAGAACTCAGTCAACTCGGTCTACATGGTTTTCACTTTCTGCGGCCAGCTGTTCGGAACAGCTGTAGGAAACAAGCTGTACGCAAGCGGCGGATGGATCAGGAGCGGCTCTCTGTCTATCGGCCTCATCGGCGGCGGCCTGCTGCTTGTTCTTATTCGAGGACCACATGAGACAGGCTGGATCGGTTGGTCTGGTGGCTGGGAGTTGAGAACTAAGGTACTGCGCGCGAGAGAGGCGGCGAACTCACAGGAAGTATCTGAATCTACAGAGCATCCGTCTGATGAAGAGGCAGCCGTTCCGCAAGAGACTGAAGTGAAGGAGAAGATTTGAAGCGATAGAAAGAGTTAAAATGATGCCATGAGAAAGAAAGTAGAAGTAGAAGTAATTTTTTACGTGCCTTCCTTAGCAATACTTTAGATAATGATTTCTTTTTGTTGAAGATAAGATACCTAATCTTAGGTTGGTTGTTCTTGCCTTGGTGCCTGATGGCATGTCGGGTGTTAAGTGTTTCACTTTCACGTGCTAATTTGAGCTTATTTTTCAAGCTCCTGAGCAACATAACATGTATCGCGGAGATGATAAAGACTTCTCAACACATAGAGCCCTGCTAGAATGCCTATCAAGTGGGTATATAATGATTGGTGAGCGTTACAAGAAAGAGACCAAATGTAGGAGATTGAATTCCGCGAGAAAAAGACACGCTCGTATTGTTTTGTACTCATGGAGAAGCAAATGCTGTCCCAGATATTCTCCTCCCTCAGTAGTAAATGTTGGTAATGCTCATAACGACTCCCACCAATAGACTCAATGCTACTCCAGAGCCTACAAAGACCTGCCATTTTTCACTCCATACATCTGAGCGAAGTAACCAGGCCAAACTCCCCAAGGGAAAAAAGAACCCCACCATCATGCCGCGAATCATGACGTCCAGCATGTTGGACATGCCGTTGAGATCGTCCTCTGCAGCAGCATTCGACGAAGGAATGCCTCCAGCATTGCTGTCGATCCATTCATCTTCCATGTTGCGCAGAGTGTCTGGTGAGGGCATGGCGTCCGGCGCAAAGCCTTCTGTGCGAATGGAGGCAAACTGTGTGCGAAGCGTCTCGATTTCCGACTGCGTGAAGCCTGTTTGGAGGAGACGGTCGAAACCACGTGGACGAGGTCGAGTCCATGATGAAGGATTGCCATTTGGATGGGATGAGGCAGCGCTCGATGATTCATCAGGGGGGTTGGCCGCAGCAGCCTGCTCATCGGCGAGTTCTTGGGGCGAGAGCTCATCGCCAATAGAGCAGTTGATGTATATCCTTACAGGAGTCACACCATCGTCCACAGCTTTGCCCTTTCCTTTGGATTTGCTCTTGGAGTCGCTGTCATGAGTTGACGGGGATGAAGACGGAGGAGGAGGCGGCTTGATGCTGGAACTGAGGGCTGAGGAATCGGGGAGCAGGCGACCCTGGTAGATGAAGCGAAGGCGATTCCGGGACGCAAGGCGCTCTCGTATTAGGTTTTTCAGAGATAGAATTGTTGTGGTTTGCGGAGACGGAACATCTAGGTCCAGATCTGGGAGGGAATTTGAAAACCGGATGGTGAGATGATATGGGAGTGAGGCGGTTGAGGACGTTGAGGAAATCGGTAATGCAGGTGCTAAAGATGCCATACTGATGGCATTGTTCGGAGTCGAGACTTAAAACTAGAATATGCAAGTCAAAGAGCCTGAAAAACAAGTGCCAATGCTTTGTGGATGTAAGTTTGATGGTTCGTCAAAATAATAGCGAATACGTGGATGATAGATGGAGAGTCGAGTATCATCTGAAACTGTCACTGAAGTGACGTTGACAACACCAGACACCTAAACTCATTGGAGCCAATGGTATTCAGCGGGGCTTTTGGGGTACAGCAGCCCAGTCCAGGTCGTTTGGGGCACTAGTGACGCCAATGGGCCGCTGGAATCTGCGACTGCTAGCGTGTTTATGGCATAAATTGTGGTGCTGACCGCCTGGCAGAATCGCCAACTTTCTAGAAACTCCAGACCAAAGCTGCAGCAACTAAATCGCCGCCCTGCATTCGATTCTATTACAGCTCTGCCAATCCCATCGCCGCCTCGTCGCGCCAGCCGTCATCATACAGCCTCTTGGATACGTCGCGACTACCTACGAGCGACTGAGCGGCAGCAACAAGGCAAACCATGGTGCGCCTGAGGGGGAGGCTGCTGACCTGCTTCTATTGCGGGAAGCGGTCATCCATCAGATACGATGGTCACATACGCGACTTTCTCTGCACCTTTTGTGAGGCGAGGAACTATCTGGACGAGGTTCGTATCACATTCCTCGACTATAATTGGCGCAAACTGTGATATTCGTCTATCTTTGAATAGTATCGATGCTGACAGAAGTATCTAGTATGGCGATGTCACCGACCCTCCAGCCCTCGAATCTTCCACACCCAAGCGATTCGTCAAACAATTGCCATCCCAAACACTTTCACCTACGGAGAGTGTTTTCTGCGAGAATTGCCTAAAGAACCAACGCCTATTTACCAGATCATTGGCACAGTATTTCCCCGACGACCCCTCTCATCCAGAATACGCCGAACGCGAGCGCAAATACTATCGCTACCGTAGAGACCTGGAGAAGCGCTATCCTCAAGAATGCGCTGACTGCAAGAAGAAAGTTGACGAACGCCTAGAGCAGGCTGGCTACACTGCAAAAACTGACCATCTGAGACGGATGTTGGAAAAGAGTAGAGGCAGAAGAGTTCCTAAGAGGATGACTTACCTTGATGTGGCAAACACCATAGGACGATGGCTGTGGTGGGGGGGCTTTATCATTCAGATTGTCTGGCACTTGGTGAGCGCCTCTGCCGTTCTAGACAAGCGTGAGGAGAACGGAATGTATGATCCGGACGATCAGGGCACGACAAAGCAAATGATTGTTGCATGGTTGAACTGGTTACGGGCTTCCCTGCCCGCTGCTGAGACGCTAATTGGATGGAGCATTAGAGTAGGATTTCTCTCTGCTTGGTGGAATCCGTACATTGTGCAGCTTGTTCGTGGGTTTACACGGCACCTCTTCGGATTCGCGCAGTGGTATTGCTTTCAAGGCCTCATCATCTTCTTTCGACACATTTTCCGCTCTGTTCTCCATATGCAAGGAGGCCAGGCCCAGTCCACTGGGGCACAGCTGAGTGCGCATTTTGCAATGGTTTCTATCATGGGACTGGTAAGTACTAGTATATCCGGATTTGTTTTCTTTGCTTTCTCACCTCATATCAACCGTTCATCGCTGACCAAAACTTCAGATCTACTATCTTGCTCGGGGGTCTATCAAAGTCGATACCACGCCGCTATTTAAGGTAACCAAGAGGACGACAACCGCAAACCAGAAGCCTTCACCGGCGCCGAGAAGGAAAATAAGAGAACCAAAGACTCTTGCCGAGGCTCTGACTGAGGCCCTCGAATCGGCAAACCCGTCACCAGTCAAAACCCCAACGCCTATCAAATATCCCACACCTCAGCGGCCAATGAACCCATTGCCGCCTTCCCGACTCAGCAAACAACCATTCCAACCAGCTCAAGATGAACTTTCTTTTGCCGGCTTCAGCATATCAGACAAGTCTCCTCAAAAGGGCCTTCGCGCACAGGATGCTGATGCAATGGATTGGTCCCCTCTACCGAAGCATGCTCAAAAATCGCAATATCGGGCATTTCAAGACCCCCCCGTGTCCAAACTTGGCGCTCGTCCTTTCGGCCAATCCCCTACCCAGCCTGATGCCGGGCCATTCTGGTACAAGGTACCACCTGCACCGGTGAACCCAGCACGGCGATTTCGTAACCCCCCCAGTGCTCCTCTGTTTAAGAGAGCGTTTTCAGTTGAGCCAAGGAAGGAAGAAGGCAGTTTCAGCTTCGGAATGGGCCATATGGATGACAGGCGAGAAGAAATGCCGAGAGCCAGCAGTGTGGACTTCAAGAGCCCCAGCTTCTTCGCACCTGAGGGTCCTGACGAAACGGATGCCCTGGCAGATGCCCTTGGACAGAGCTTCAGTTTTGCCAGCGTCATCGACGACGAATCCGACTCTGAGAAAACCGTTGTGAATGAAGATATTCATCAAGTTGAGATCCCTATCCTCTCTAGTTCGCAGACCTCACATAAATACGACCTCTACATTTTGATGGCCATCCTTCCTTCTTGGTTCATTCCCCAATTCATCACGACTCCTTATGCTAGAGAAGCGCGACTCGCTATCTTAGCTATTGCTGGCATCATCGCCATTCGCAGTGTTGGAGGTGCTACCCACCAGATCTTACGTGGTGGCGCTGACTTGTCCAGACTGGCCATGTGTGTCGCTTCCATGACGAGTGTGCTTGAGTTAAGTGCCATTTGTTGGACAGGATGGCAGCTATGGACGAATGAAAGCGACGTGTTCCAACATGGCGCTTCTGTGTTAGCCTTTATGCTGGGACATCAAGAATTGAGGGGGTTTTCCTTGAGACGGGGTTCGTGATACTAGAAACGGCTCCGTCATTTCTGTCTTTTCCATCTTTTTGATGCATGGTTTGCGAGGCATTTGAAAGCTTAACCCTCCTGATAGGGGTGGCAGTGTAACAACGGGGATGAAAGACCAACCGAAATCGGACTGAATTTTTATAATCATGGTGTAATGGACATTGGCGGAGTTTTTAGGATAGAACGGCTATAGCATATTAGAATTAAGCATGTATACGAATGTATAGGATGAGGGAAAAGGCTTTATGGTAGGTAGGCATGGGAACGGATTGGCATAATGGAGCAATGGTGATTTTGACTTTGTGTAACTTCTAATGGCTGTGCATTCATCTCTTATAACAATTGTCGCCTCGTGTGACTGCAACGCCCGATCTATTGATAATATACAGGTGCTCATACAATATATGGTGCATCGATAAGATCATCAACTATAGGAGCCGCATCATAACGCTATGAATTTGTATACTATCATTGAACCTACATGTAGCTTATACATGCCATAAGCCGAAAGTAAATGCAAATATGGATCATTAATGCTTTTCATGCAAATGGCTTGTAAACCGTTGATAATCCGCTGCTGTCAAAGCAGGACCCTTGTCTGACTTCACCTCACCGTTCTGCATAGTCAGTCCATTATTATGGACATAACCCATCCACTTGTTCGCCAGATTCTCGCTGAGCTGTTGAACCTCGTCAACAGGTCCCTTGCTGCACAAATATTCGCACACGGTACTGTCCGCATCACCCTCAGCGTCATAGTAAAAGATGCCGGGGACGGAATCAGCCGTGCAATAGCACTGCCAAGATCGGTAAGTTGTGGGCAAATGTGTTGGACGAACGGGGTTCTCAAGTGCAGCTTGAGTCTCTGGGAGAGCAGCTTTGTTGCGCTCCGTTGTATCGGTCATCATGTTGATGACTCCAGACATGTATGAGATCTGTTGCTTAACCCAGGCTTTGGGCATCCGTTGCTTCTCGTAGAGTTGAATAGCTTCGGGGATGGAAATGACGCCGCGGACAACCTCACTAATGATACGGCCTAGAAAGGCACCGTCCTCCATGGCTGTCGCTGCGCCTTGTGCCATGTTGTTTTGCATGCAGTGGATTGCGTCGCCCATCAGTACCACGTTCTTGTGCTTGTTGGACCATGTTTCCACGGGAGGCATCTGCAGAAGGGGCCATCTCTGTGTGTAGTTGACCAGTTTGAGGATCTTCTGAATGATCGGGTGGTAATCCTTGTAATAGTCACGGAATTCCTCAATATCGACCTGCTCCATTTTTGTCACGTAGTCATCTCTGCAAAAGGCGGTGACAATGTTGAACTCTTTGCCTCCTGAAATGGGATACGTGAGGATATAGCCATTGGGACCGGCCCAGACGTCCATGTTGTTTCCTAGGTAAGAGCGCGCTTCTGGGATTTCGTCGAATATTTGCTTATACGTCAACACTCCACGGTAGGCGGCGATCTTGGAAGTGGCCTTGGGAACGATGCCGGGCAGCAATTGTGATCGAATGAAGGATTTAATGCCATCGGCGCCAATGACCATGTCAAACGAGTATTTATCGCCAGTAGTGGTCTGAAGATGGACACCATCTTCCAAGTCTTGCATCTCATTGACACGAGCCCCCACAATCACCTTGACGCCATGGCGACGTGCCGATTCAGTGAGGCCATAATGCAAATGGTCACGTCGGACAACAAACCTGTAAATGAATACCGCAGGTTAGAGGAGTACTTTATTTGGAGAAGTTAACTTCTTACCAGGGGAATCCAGCCTTTTCAACTAAGTCAGAAGCTAAAGAGTGTGCAACCATAGTGGCATCAGGACCGAAGTATGTGTTACATTCGTGGTGATAGACAATGTTATCACCAATAATTTTGTCTACGCCCCATCTCACTAGGAATCGAGAGACATTGGGAAACATCTGAGGTATTATTAGATAGATGTAAATGGAGAAGATTCATGGAGTCTACATACCTGAATTCCAGCACCAATCTCGCCCAGCTCATGAGCAGCTTCAAGCAGAGTCACCTTTGCTCCAGCTCTAGCCACTGCAATGGCCGCAGTGAGTCCTCCGATTCCTGCTCCCACTATTCCGACATTGAGAGTTTTCTGACTCGCTGTGTATTGGCTCATTGTGGATGGTGACTTTGGGTTGGCGCTTTGCTTTATATGTTTGATATCAGGATGTGGTTGGATTTGTATTCAGGTTGGCTGTGTAGTTGGACATGAATAGAAGAGCGCTGGACATGACCCTTTTATATGAGAGACAACAACAATCCCATCTCCATCTGCTTCATGGCCTCAAACTTCCCCTCTCCCCCTCTCGAAGGAGCAATAGAGCATTAGACTAAGGAATAGTCTTGTCTACGATTATGTCATAATTCAGCGCCAGTGATTCTTAGCATAGATCCTTCGTGATGCTTGCGCTTGAGGTGGGAAGGCGGGATTTACCCGCTTACACTAAACTGGCAAAGTTGCTCGAATGGGAACCTCGTTACGGAAGTATCGAATGCGTTACTCTTATTTCCATAGTAGGCACACCGAACAAGATGAAAACGTGCGATTTTCCGAGGTCAAAATGCCATATTATGTGAAATCCCCTGTTTTTTATGGTATAGTGTCAGGAAGGGTAGGATTTTGAGGAGAGTATCCCGAGGACTAGCACTACAACACCTCGGATGTTGGGGAGCGATGTTGTCACAAGAAAATGTCAAACATAAGTCATGCCCAGTATGTTAGAGATGGTGAGTGTCTATAATTATAATTGCTTGAATAAGGTACAGGAATGCTCAGATGTCGGGCTATTTACCGCGTCATATGCTGATGATCGTCTATATTATTGCACGAAAAGGACAGCGCTCGGTGAATTGAGCCTATCTTCATAAGGACATATCTCATTGATCGTAACGAATGGCAATCTCTACAACACACATAATTAAAGTCATTCACTCTCTAACCATATATAATCACAGTGATCAACCAACTTGACTCATGCAGCTGGAGAGCAGTCACTCCATCATCAATACAACCTGTCCTTTCGAGTGGTCAGCAACATACGCCCAGACTCAGACACACGGCCTGAGTCCTTTGCTCCGTTAACATAATGTTCGATAAAAATATATTAAATGATCAGTCAACTCCGTGGATTTACGCAGTCTTAGAAATACGAAACTAGATGTTTGAGTAGTGCTATCCTCAATGAGCGAAGCTCCACCTATCTTCGTCTTCGGGTACATCAGCACTACGGGGATTAAATTTGCCTATTACAGGATATGAATCTCCCGGATAATTAATCCTTCCCGCCATTGTCTTTGTGGATTATGGAAAAGTCCGCCATGGACAATTCGTCCAAGTCTTCGGAGGCGTCAAGTCTTCAGAGGTGTTCTGGGAGTCGCACACATGCACCGCTTCTACATCTCAGCTTGGGACCTGGTGGGCATTTTGTTTAACATGTTTATGCATATGGCAACCCCAGATTATAATAAAGACTCATACGGACTCATACTTGAAGACCCGTCAGTCCGTACCCCGTACATGTCATCCGATCTATATTGGCCCCCCGCAGCAACTCTGTTGCCGACGCCAGGGGCCGCATAATCTATACCATATTCGTCTCTTACCGGTCAATCATCTCCTCGATTTTAGTCATCCGACCTTTCACTATTTCATGCAGAACTCGACCCAAGGGCATGGCAATCCAATCAGCCAGGGGGTTGCGGTAAATACCCGCCCAGTAGCGTTTTTTCTCCGATCGCTCGGGGCCGGTAACTTGGCCGAGCCGGATGCTCCCACCCCATCACCAGATCCTATTGACCTCGGAGCGGTAAAATAGGACTGGCTGTTACCGGCTCAGATTTATGGACAGCGAGAGAGCCGTATTGCTAATTTCTTTGTCATCAACAACCTCGACCGGATTTCTCGTCTTTGCTGTGCTCCCACATTTACTTCGGGCAGTTGGGGATTTTGCGCCCGCCACCGTGTTTAGTTGGGACCGACAGGACTCGGCTGCCTTGCACAGTTCATCAAGCAAGTTCACTTGCTCCATATTGCGAGCCTCTTGGCCAAGATGGGCGACCCGAGGTTTACTTGCAACACTTGTTCAGCCTCATTTGGGCGGTCTGCGCATCTGAAAAGACATCAACTTTCCCGTAGGTCATTCTCGCCCCGTTCTAGAAGCACGGCTAAGCGGTGTCAAACGAGACTATAACCGTACAGACAGCGGCCATGAATTACATCAATGCACTTATTGCTTATGGAAGTTCACTCGCAGGTATGCAGATCTTGCCTATATGTAAGCCCCACTGTGCTATTCGAAGGTGACTTATAGCTTTTGTATCTAGAGACTCCCTGCGTAAGCACTGGAAAACTTGTCTCTTGAGAAAGGCTGCTGGTCATTCTGTTCCTAATCCGGCGACACGAGGAAGGAAACGGAGAGCCTGTGATCAATGTGCAAGCAGTAAGCGAGCATGCGACTTTAATTCACCTTGTGGGACTTGCTCAGTGAGAGGCTCCTCGTGCTCTTACTGTCGCATGAGCTCGTTTCAAGCGCATAAACCAAATTCGTACAGTTTCCAGTCAACGGACGATGCTTCTCCTTTGGAAATGCTCCATCGTTTGACTGGAACTGATGGTGAACTTATGATAGCTGCCAAACCAACCTTGTCAATGTCGCTGGCATTGTCACCATTCACCCTGGGAGCTCTCACAACCAATTCAGCCCCTCTCAACTACTCTTGCTTCGTTTCAGACCAAGGAAGTAGAGGGTTATATTTTCAAGCTTTTGAAACTGAACGCTTCGAGTTTCTTCTCAACTTCACTTTATGCGGTGGCCTCGACATTTCGTTTAACTTTCTTACTTCGTCAGAGAAAGTACCTGGCAACGCTTATTTCGATAACTTCTTGACTATCGATGACTTACTAAGCATCGACTACGAAGCCGGTAGCAAGTGGGTTAAAGCTTCTGACGAGAGGAGTCGTGCCACGAATACTATGGAGTGGTTGTTTGATCCTCTTCTATCCCAAACAAAGGCAATATGCGAAAAGTTGCTCAATTTACCTGGTATCGACGAGCTTGTACCGGGTAACCGCTTACAATCATTGGACGAACAGTGCCTTGAGTTCTTCAACCCTCTGAATCTCCGCAGGCTGTTAAATACATACTGGAAAAGGTGGCATCGAAACTGCCCGGTTATTCACCCGCCCAGTTTCGACCCCTCTCAAGCTCCAGCAGAGTTGGTCCTGGTCCTAGTACTCATAGGGGCTTGCGTTTCCAAGTACCCCAATGATGCTCAAAATGCTCGAAAATGGTTGGAACCTGTTGAAAGGCTAGTATTTGCACTGCCGTGGCTGTCTCGAGAAACTCAGGGTAGTCAGGCAGATCCCACCTTGACGCGATATACCAAGTTGAGAATATTACAAACAGCCATATTGATGTGTGCTTTGCAAACATGGGAGGGATCGGAAAAGTCGAAAGAAAGAATCAGAAAACTTCGATATCCCTATGTCGCCCAAGCCTCTCAAGAGCTAGCATACCATCAGCCTGGTGAACAGATAGGTTCAGATTTGGCTGCAACACTACGACACTGGGATGAATTTATATTCGAAGAACAGATACTTCGGTAAGGAAAACCTGTTTATCTTCGGCTTCTCTGTTAATTGCGTGTTTTTGGAGTACTAATGCGCTCAAATGAATAGCACCAAGACCTACATCTTTCTGCTTGACACAGCCTTTACCATCTTCCATATGACACCCCCTCGTATCACAGTTCCCGATTTGGATTTTCCATTTTCATATCCGGACATCTGCTTTCACGCTCATTCAGGCCATGAATTCTTCCAGGCGGTGCAGCAGATATGTCCAAATTATTGTATATACAGAGAGACAAACATACACGAAGTGATTCAAATGCTCTGCGACACAACAAATACAGCTGCATTCGAGTCTTTTTCAGAAATCTCAGATCTTGGGGGATTTATACTGATTTCAGGTATGAACCTTTACAGAGTGAATACGAATGTTCTTGTCAGTTAAGTCAATTACTTACACGTATTCTTCTCAGCGATACATTCCATCATATTTTGCCAACAGATCTCTTGCTTCTCTTCACAGAATACTATTACGCCACTTTTCAATTCTTTAGATAAATGGCTATCATTGTGGAATAAGCGTATAAGCCCCACACAGATAGGTGCTGAAGCCCGTGTTGTAATAAATCGCGATGAATCTACGCCTTGTCCAAGTTTCTTACGCCATTCGCGCGAGTTCTACACGCTGGCGCTTGCAAAGTTAGAAATGATTGACAAGTTATATATCGCTGGGCAAACATCTCAAATAGCTGATACAGGTAAAGGAGGTGTCAAACAGCTAATCTCGGATATTAAACAAGTATGGCCATCTCGTGTGGGAACGACTATTGCTAGAGCTGTTTAACCGACAGTAAAAGACGATATATAAAAAGAGATCAATTATTAATGACATAGGATTCTCATGATTTGAGAAACGTTATCATAATTTGAGATGATATTTAATTTGGCATCCAATACCAGCACATGGTCCATCCTCTCAGGCAGAGAGATTTGCTCCTGGCTCAGTAACATACCATGCCAAATCTCCTCCGCTGACTTCTCGATGCGTGTTTCCCCTACCTAGATATTGGAATCGATTGGAAGTCCTGTACTCAATCTTGAAATCTTCCCATCGAGTCTCACCCATGAGTTCGAAGAAATGCGGCACTGAGCCAGGATATGGCCCCCAAACTTTGCCGTCTACCTTACCATTTTTGTACCAAGAGCGACACGGTGAAGTCCACACCATTTTCTCCATTATCGCATCTTTATGCTCTTGAAAATCGTTGACTGCTTCTCGAGTTGGCGACACGGATTTAACTCCCTGGGTTTGTATCTTTTCGACTGCTCTGAAAGCATACTTTAGCGTTTGCTCCAGACATGCGACTAATGAACCGTTTGCTAACGGAAAGTTTGGTCCTGTAGCCACTATAACTAACAATGTTAGCCGTCGGACTCTCGAGTTTCCTTTGGTGGATAAGACTCACTAAAGTAATTTGGAAATCCGGCTGCAGCCACTGAAAGATAAGATCGAGGTTCTTCTCTCCACTCGTCTCTCAAATCTACACCGTTTTCTCCAATGAGTGCAAATGACGGGCGGAACGAGTTGTCGAAGCCTGTGGCGCAGATGATGGCATCAAGAGCGAGGTTGGTTCCATCAGTCATTTGGACACCTGTAGGTGTAATGCGTCTAATCTCATCGCTTCTCACGACGATGTTGTCTTTGGCCAAAGCTTCAAGATAGCCGTGGCCAGGAGTCACTCTTATGTATTCGTTAGACTTTCATATCAATGCACGTAGTGTAGTTGGTTCTCACCTTCGGCATCCTACAGCGAATGTAGGTACTATTTTCGATATCAGTTCCGGATTCCCTCCCAAGGCCGTCTCCATATTCTGCCGAGTTTGCCTATACCACTCCTCTTGGACGGGCCCGTCCTTGAATTGGGCATGCCAGAATTTATTTGCAATGCTTGTTACGATCTGGTCCTTCGTAACAGATAGATCCTTTATAAATAGCTGGTTCCGTTACAGTAATTGCTACAATTGCGATTATAATGTTACGTTCCGTTATACCGTAGCGCCAAACAGGGCAAAAGATTAGGCCAATAATCGCAATTGTAGCAATTACTGTAACGGAACCAGCTATTTATAAAGGATCTATCTGTTACGAAGGACCAGATCGTAACACGATTCTTCCCTCCCGGTGGGCTTGTCCTCAAGCCCTGTAGCTATCTGATAGTAAACCCTAGCTATCTTCTGTAGCCCCGGAAATTAACCGCCTACAGTTGGACAATCGTAAGAAGGAGAAACCATACACCCTTGCGAGCATCGAGAAACAACAATTCACCTACAATAACGGAACTGTCGACCGCGAGACTGATCTCCTCGAGATCCGGTTCAGTGAAATTGAAGACATATTTAGTTTCGACATTGCAAATATCGCAGGATATGATGTACTCTTAGGATACGATTGGCTTGAGTTGCGCAACCCCGACATTAACTGGATTAGAGGCCAGGCGAGGTGGCGAACTCGCCCTGAACCAATTGATTTCAGAGACACCCTGTGACTAGATCAGGAGGATCGACAGGATGCCACGACATCCCCGACGATAGGATCAGTAACCCCTGTATTATACAAAGAAACGAAAAAACACACGGAAAAAGAAAAAGTCACAAAACAAGCATGATTTAAGGAGCCAGAGAAGCTCCCAAGGATAATTGAATACGTTAAGAAGCTAAAGAGAAAATAACTTAGATTTCTTAACTCGATCGTACAGAAGGTCAAGGAACTATACCACCGAGACCAAAAGACACCGGAACGTCTAAAGAACATACCACAAGACCTCCAGTATATACCAGTCTTCAACAAAGAACTTAACACCGGACTACTGGAATACAGCCAATAGGATTATAAGATTAAACTTATAGACAACAGAGTCCTAATGTTCAACAAGATCTATAACCTAAGCGCCACCGAGCTTAAAACACTCAATAAATAGATTAAGGACCAGCTAAAGAAAGGCTACATTAAACCTTTTAAATCCTCAGCAGGATATTCAGTTATATTTATGCCCAAAAAGAACGGTAAACTTCAACTTGTTATAGACTACCGATAATTAAACGCAATAACTAAGAAAGATATTACGCTACTACCACTGATTTCGGAAATCAAAGACTGGCTTACAGAAGCCAAGATCTTTACTTTATTAGATCTTAAAGGAGCGTACAACCTTATTTAGATTAAAAAAGGCAACGAATGGAAAACCGCCTTCTGCATAAGATATAGACTTTACGAATGCTAGGTAATGCCTTTTAGACTTACGAACGCCCCAGTATCTTTCCAGAAAATAATTAACTACGTATTATAAGACTACGTAGATTATTTTGTTATTATATACCTTAACGATATCCTCATCTACTCTAAGAACTTGGAAGAATATAAGGAATACGTTAAGAAGGTATTACAAATACTCTAAGATAATAAACTCCTGGTAGAACCTAAGAAATATAACTTCTATACGCAAAGGGTTACATTCCTAGGATATATTATTACCCCAGGCAGAGTCTAAATAAACCCTGAGAAACTTAAGGTAATTAACAATTAGGAACTGCCACAGAACGTTAAGCAAGTACAAAGCTTCTTAAGACTTACCAATTACTACTAACGCTTCATTAAGGACTTCTCAAAAATTGCCATACTACTTACGGACTTAACAAAGAAAGACGTTAAATTCAAATTAACACAAGACGCTCTAACAGCCTTCAAACGCCTTAAACAAGCTCTCATAAATACACCAGTACTTATAATATTTAACCTAAATAAACCTATTATAATCAAAACCAACGCCTTAGATTATGCAATTAGGGAAGTACTTAGCCAACCAGACGACATAAAGAAAAAGAGGCTTAGACCTATTACCTACTTCTCTAAGAAACTATATAAACTAGAACTCAGATATCCCATCTACGACAAAGAGTTCATGGCTATATACTAAGCGCTTAGCAAGCAGTATTAGAGACACTACTGTAAAGGAAGTTAATTTCCAGTAATAATCCTTACGGACTACTGGAATATTACTTACTTTATAATAATATAAGAACTATCCCGTAGATAAGTTAAATACTATAAACGACTCTCCGAGTTTAAGCTTACTATTAAACACTGCAGCGGATCAGACAACGGACGCGCTAACGTACTTAGCAGGTGCTTAGACCACTTCTAAGAAATCCCGGAAGTTAAGGTATAAATACTAGAGAAAAACTAGTACAGAGACCTAGTCATCCGATTGATTGACACCTTGTACTAAATCGAGATAGACGACCCGATCATTAACGATATAAAGGAATACATTAAGAACTGGGAAAACGAATAATACCCAGAAGGTATTTCTATAGATACTGGATACCTGACACTAGATAGACTTATCTAGGTACTAGAAGATTTACGAAGTAAAGTAGTAAAATCAGTCCACGTACATAAGCTTAACGGGTACCGTAGAATTAGAAAAACTACATAACAAATTGCACGATACTTCAAATTTAAAGGTATTAAGAAATAGGTACAGAAGGTTGTATTAGAATATATGACATACGGACGAGCCAAAAGCTTTAAGCATAAACCCTACGGACAGCTACAACCGCTACCTATACTACAACAACTATAGGAATCGATCTTATTTGACCTAATTACTAAACTACCTCCTTTAAGAAAACCAGTTACAAGGGTACTCTATAACAGCATCTTTATAGTAGTTAACAGACTTACGAAAATAGCCTACTTTATACTATTTAAGGAAGCCAGCGATGTAGAAGAATTAGCTTACGTGATAATAAGATACGTTATAAGTAACTATAGACTGCCAGGAGACATGATCTCCGACAGAGGAAATACATTTATATCCAAATTCTGGAAAGTACTTACAGCTAGACTAGGAATAAATCACAAGGCTAGTACAGCCTACCACCTATAGACAGACGGACAGACGGAAAGGATCAACCAAATAATTAAGACCTACCTACGCTATTACATTAATTTTAAGCAAAACGACTAGGTAGAACTCCTCCCCGTCGCATAACTCGTATACAACAGCACGGAATCTAAATTAACTAGGAAATCACTATTCTTCCTAAACTATAGATTTAAACCTAAAGCCTACCGACCGCTAAGGTAAGGAGAAGATGTCGAAAAAGCTATAATTAAGGCAGAAGACATAATTGAATTACATAACGAACTGCGATGATAACTTGAATTCGTTTGACAAAGGATAATTAAATACGCAGACAGAAACAGGATTGGAGAACCAACCCTTTAGGAAGGGGACATGGTCTGGCTCCACCGACATACACGAGGAAATAAATAAGTAAACATTAAGATAAACAGGCTAAGCGATAAACTTGATTTTAAGAAACTTAGACCTTATAGGATTCTAAGAAAAATCGGAGAAGTAAATTATAAACTTGAACTTCCAGAACAACAGGAAAAACGAGGAAAACATATATATCCAATATTCTACATCTTTCTGTTAGAAAAAGCATAAATTAATAAAGAAACTAGAAGGTTTATCTAGGATGAAATTATTGTTGAAGAAGAGGAAGAAGAATATAAGGTAAAAGACATTAATGCAATAAAGATAGGAGAAGACGGCAAACAATGCTATAGGATATAATAGGAGAAAGGGGAAAAAAAAGAAGAAATATAAGAACCTATTAAGTATCTTAAGAACTTAATGGCGCTGGTAGAAAAACTCTATTAAAGCCTAGGGATTATACCAGCTTAAGATCTATTAATAATATTCTTAAATAATCTACTAACTCTAAAGAAGCAGGGATAACCTTAGAAAAACCCTCTGCTAACTGTATTATAGCAGCCTAAAAAGCGGCCTTTACTTTACGCTTCTTTTATTCTAACTACTCTAACTCTGCTAAATTATTAATACCCCGGGATACTGTATACACTGCTTTTTTAGACTATTCTTTACATTATTTCCAAAGATAAATAACTTTAGCTATAAGATTTGCAATTTCCTCTTTAACGGCTTTAACCTTACTATTGAGCTAGTTGCGCCGATGGGAAATATATAATAATTATTAAGGTATAAGAAATACCTTATAATAAGATTTATAATCCTCGATATACTTTAAGCAGCGACTTAAGTCAACCTCGGAAGCTAAATACTAGGATCCTTTCTTTTTATAATAGAAGCAGGGTTTTATTTCGACGGATCGCGATAATATAGAAGCAGTAAGGGCTATACTCCTATTAAGTTTTTTCTTCTTTCCTTTTATATTAGCCGAGTTAGTAGATTTTTAAACGCGGAAAGTCATTTTGGTGACGAACAGGTAATAGAATAAGAAGAATACCTATAAGTGGGAGGTATAGATACTTATATGCTAGATCACCTGGTCTTGGGGATAAGACCAATAGGAGGGGGAGAATCGTGTTACGACCCAGCTCTTATGGTTGCAACAAGGGGCCTACAGGGTAGGTACTCCTGGATTAACGTTAGGCCGCGCAGCTAATTAGGAAGCAGTCGACGGGAATTAACGTTGATTCTAATTGACGTAGGAATAAATTAATTAAGATCATAAGCAATTCCACTCAACTCTAGAATACACGACTGGATATATAAGTTCACTTTATATCACTTATTAGAATACTTAGATAGCCAGTTGTTATCACAGCGTTTACAATACAATCAGATTGGAACACAGACATCTACTCTTATTCGTATTACTAGCTGGTGATAAGATTGCCCGTTTACCGACCTGACCGTTTCCGCCAACATAAACCATAGAACCACTCTAAGGTTTGTCCCTTGGGAACAGCTAACCTATATTAATCTATAGGCACCGGTTCGTCACAATGCTTTCAATTTCTTTTCGATACTTTAGAAATTCGTTGGGATTATTACGCCATTCTTCCCTCTGTTCATCAGAATAGACGAGTTCTCGACCTTCAGGGATATACTTTGCACCGAATTCTTGAGTGATCCATGACGGAGACCGGTTAAAAGAAATCAACGATTTGACTTCTGGTTAATTGAAGCATTCATCAGCATATAGAATGTTCTTTAGATGAAGTAAAAATGCTGTAAAGCCTTTGCTTACCTTTTTGAAGCTTCGGCACCATCTGAATAGCTGATGATCCAGAGCCAATAACACCGATGGTTTTCCCCTTGAATGAGTAATTGGAATCCCAAATTGCTGAGTGGACTAGGTGACCTTTGTAAGTGTCTAGGCCATCAATGCTAGGCCACTTCCATTGGCTAAGGTATGATCCCAGTTAGTTACCACAAAATGGCCAGATCTGGGTTGATAACGTACTTGAGCATTCCACAGACATTAATAAGAACTTCGCACTCATCTTCAATGATGATGGACCCTTCTTTCTCAATCTTGAGCTTCCATTGGCCAACGTATTCATCCCATCTCGCCTCAACCACTCGATGATTGAAGTTTACATATTGATATACTCCATAGGCTTTCGCACGGCCTTTGTAGTATTCGAAAACCTCTTCAGCGCCAACATATGCCCTAGACCAGGATGGGTTTCCCTCCCAAGAGTATGTATATGTATGTCCGGGATTATCAACCGAACATCTGTTATCGCTGATATTAGTGATCAGATGATGAACTTGGCTTACGCTATACTTACCCAGGGTAGCGATTTTCCAGCCAAGTTCCGCCCACATCGTGGTTCTTCTCATAAATGACAAGAGTCGTCGGGCGATCTTGAAACGTCTCGCGAAAGAGCTTCACAGCGGCAATACCTCCGATTCCGGCTCCTACAACCACCACCCGGACGGGCCTTGGCTCTCCGATCCATTGGTCAGAAACTGTATAAGTTGGCTTTGAGCCCATAGCTTTTACTGATATAACTGTAGAATTAGTTCAACGACGCAGTGTTCTGCTTTTTCACGCTCAGAATTATGTTGCAAATGCCACAAAGGAACTTCGCGCCCCCGCAGCTATTCCCATATATATATCCCACATTAATTATAATTGATGGCTACATTGTTCTTCTTGGCGTTACATTCTGACGCACGCACGGATATGGGCTCTGCAACTCGTCGGCGATTATCGGCTCATGCCCACATCTAGGCCGCACTCGCATAGCAACCTGGCCTATTGAAACATTGAGAATGCCCTTTTGAAGCAGTACAACCCTACTTATGCATGGGAGACATCTGGATCACATAACAGGGAATGCATCAAGACTTCACGACGACGTGCGATATGGTTCATCTGGGTTCAAGTTCAGAATCGAAGTACAGAGAACGTGTTTAGCTTTAAAGAAGAGCACATGCCAGTCGAAATTGCAATCGGTTAAACAAGGTTGGGATATGGAATTGTTAGTCTTTTGTCTGAAGGATAATCGACATGAAGTTACGGGTGTTTACTTTACATAGACTATGGAGCCATGAGGAGGCCGACTATAAGTTTGAGGCTGCACTCTCTATGACATGAACTTGGGTATAACCATTAATGGCGAAAAGCTCCTGTATATCCCCCACAAAGATTCTACAGCTCATCTCCATCTTCTCCATATAGAGATGGCACGATTGGGCATGGAGATACTGATGGCTATCTGTCGTGCTGGTGATTCGCCAGGCCAAAGAGTCCAATGTACAACACTTTATGACTTGAGATCCCGGATTATAATCCAACCCCTGCTTGCCACGTCATTGTTTACAAGTGTGGTTGGAAAGACTGAAGCGAGGCTTCAATGCTACACACAACATTGATCTGCTATATCTCGGTGTTTTTTCGCCAATGAAATTCCAAAGATTCTGAATATCGCCAATTACTCGTTACTTCGGATAGAACACATCATGAGCGGGGTTGGAGACCCCCTGCAGCCTGGTTGTACAGAGGCTGAAAATGCGGCCAGGTCTGGCTCAGCCACCGCTCGGCTGACTCTCTCTGCCTGGGCTTCTTTTGTTTCGCATTTTGGAAACGGAGGTGGAGTCTTATATTTCATCGCCGAAATTATCTCTCAGGCAGCGCTTAATCTGACTGTGTTTTCGGCGGCGCGTTATTAGTTGCAAGCGCATCCACACTTACGGCTGGTGATAATGGATAGCGACACTTTGGCGGATGGTCTTGAAGGTAAACGCCTACTCCTCGTTTTCTATCCATCCATGTCCCCTCCTTTATGTATCAAGACGGAGCAGCACTTCCTTAATGGGGTGCAAAGAATGCACTCAGTAATAAGCATGCATGACTAACTAGGGTTCAACGGCAGGACGGGTTGACTCTACATATGGCATACCGATCGGGCCCTTGAGTAATAATACTACCCTGGTGGTTGAGTTGGTTGAGAAACTTCGCCGTAAGTTGCCCTTAAAAGCCATTCATCCAAATGACTTGGCATACACGCGAATTTCTTCGTGGTTATCACCGTACTACTTCCGTGTGTTGTGGTAACTACGCTGGCACATCAATATTTGGATCCCATTACAAGAATGTTGCTGACCTGTGTGTCGAAGATCAGTCCCTCCATTCAGTCCAAAAGAAGATATCTTCAGAGAAGCGCCGCTGATTGCTGGCATCTACCAGCGAGATAAAAAAGTCGTCAGCATCGACAAGTCGGACCCAGCCTCTGTTAAAAAATATTTAGAGCACGACCTTGATGTCCGGCGGTTAAACGAAATCCACAAGCACCTTTGGTTGGCCGGTTTACCGCAAGCCTGTCGAGCATTGCATGACCAAGTCAGAATTGGGCGGCAGATTCACATCTCGGAGATGGCACATCTCCACCTTGTTTGGCGCGACAACATCCTGTACCTGAAGCCGCTGCCGGATTATCTTCTAAGCTATTCTTTCTGGACAGACAAGCTCTGCGCTGACCGTGAACTTTTTGAGAGTGCCAAGGGATTTCTCTACTCTTACACCTGGTTAATATGCAGCAAAAGCGACTTACGGATTGCACATGAGAAAGGGCTTGTATCAGAAACCATCACATGGGAGAAATGGGCCCCTTTCTCTGCAGCTGTGGTGTCCGGCATCAACGGCGATCTCAGTGACATCAACCCGAGATATGTTTATGGTGAATTACGTCTCACACGACTGAACATAATAAGCAGATTCTGCACAAACACATTTGAATTCAAGACTATAATTCGCGGATATGAATACGGCTATCGCCAATACTCGACTTATCTCGAAAGGAACTTCAAATGGGTTTTGACTGCCTTCATCTATATAACTGTGGTTCTGGCAGCTATGCAAGTGGGACTGGCCACTACCAAACTGAACGAGAACGCAATGTTTAACCGCGCGTCATACGTGTTTACCATGTTCTCCATCTTGGCTCCAATCATCTCTTTAACAATCGGGTCATTTTTTATACTAGTCCTTATAATTTTTAATCTTCGTTATGCGCTAAGTCGACGAGCAATATCTCATAAGGAATTCGCAAGATCTTTTGGAAACGAATCTTTACAAGCTTATAGTCATTGACAGGATAATTAAACGTGGTTACCTCACTCACTTTCATTTGTTTTCTATTACTTTCAAGTTCTGAATCTTGACATTTCTTACTTTATCCAAAATCCATTACACCAAAATAACTTAATTGTACTTAGCCCCCGAACTATAATGATGCGAACGATGACTCTATAGCTCCAACTAGCTGGCCTTTTCTTTCTTGGAGCTTGTATACGATAAACAATTTTGTCGGGATTTTTAAGACTTACTCTTTCTATGATGCTATAAAAATACACTACTTCTATGACTCTCTTGCATGATCAATGAGACAGTAAATGCTAAAGGCGTATTACCGTATTACCTTCACACTCAGTCACAAAGTGCAAGGAGAAGTGAGAAATGATATTGTCATCAGTCTTTAGAGTTGTTTATACGAGGAAGACAGTTGAGAGTGGCCAGTGCCTGGGCTTGATTAAAGAAGATATATCTGTTCAATTACTGTCTAGTAACAGAGCGTAATATTATACCCATTAAAGTTAGATCTATGTGTTCATACAAAACTTAATATACCCTTTTAATCATCATCCCTTTCGACGCTAACTTCTCAACCTCCCGAAGCAGTTTTTCGTCGGACTTCCACATGAGAGGTAGCCAAGGCGGATATTTGAACCATTTTTTGAGAAACTGTGGTCGAACGATGACATGCAGATGCAAGTGGTGGACTGAAATAGTGTCTGGAAAACGGAAACGAAGGAAACTGAAGCGACCAAAAAAGATCCTCCCACCTCGATGATACCCAGAGTGGATTTCGGAAGGAGACAACCCAGGACGCCTGCTCAGGAGGAGGCGCTTTAACTCATCCATTGACCGCACTGATTTTTTGCGAGTAAAAGATCTGCGTTAATTGAAGTCCTCAGGCAGATGTAAGATTAATAGTGTATGACTTACGTAGCTCAAGGTGTTCAGAGCTGAGATTTTCGATATCCCGGATATGTGATCTGGGTAGGATGAGCCAGTGCGCCTCTCCTGCGTTTGTTATATTGTTGATAGCTATGCATAGATCATTCTAAGTAGAATATTAGTACTTCTTGCCGTGGCCTTTCTCAAAAGATGTGAAAAGACTCACCTCGACGATGATCTCGTTGGCTTTAATGTTGCAGAATATGCATTTCTTTTGGAAATGTTCGGCCCACTGAAGATTGGCAAGGTAGCGGAATACTTCCTTGATTTTCTGCAGCATTATGGATGGAATTCCGGAGAGAGGGCAAAGACGAAGGCGAATGGGTCAAGACGAGAAAACGGCAATGAGCCGAATTTATAATTGACACGATTTAAGTTCCTTTTTGCTCCCCTTTGTTATATCCTTTAACAACCCACAGATCAATTATTGTCCCGTGATAGGCTCATGCGCTGTGTTGTAGGCCTCGGACAAAGCCCTGGAGCCTGGAGCGCTGCGGCGCTGTGGTGGGAATAATTCTGGCTGCGCCTCAACTACAAGACTAAAGCCGAGGCTTTGTGCTATAGTCTGACTGTATGGAGAAATGGTAGCGTATTATTGCCTGAATCATTCCAGGCGTTGCAAGAACCTTTGTCTCCATAGTTAGCTCCAGTCTTTCTCTATACTATCGGCTTTATTGAAGAGCTGCCTGATCAAAGAAGTCCTAAGACTGGCACCACTGGATTTCTCATGGCACTATCACCACCACCAATGTTGCCACGACGTTAGCCGCTGGCGCCAAATCTGAGCGCAACTAAAACTACGCTCGAATACAGTGCTAGGGCAATATTAAACAAACGAGTCACTTAATTAAGAGATGCCCCTCTTCTATATGTACATCAAAGTTACCTTGAAGCAAACCATTCTTTAAATAAGTCTCATGAATATCATCTGAAATTGGAAGAAATGAGTGCGGTGGGGCTATTACAATCTCACTTCCGCACCGCCAGGGCTGATCCTCAAGCATGCGTTCACTGTTTGCCGCCGATACTGCGTTAGAAACGCCATTTGCTCCGCCTCATGTGCCCAGGGCCTTGAAGGGGATCGATGAAATTTTCAACTGTATCTCAGGCTTTTTTCAGCTTCTCCGCGATGACTTCGAGATAACCCAGAAAAGCATCCACCCGGTCCAAGGTAGAACGCCGTAGCAGCTGAGTTTCAGGTGGTTGTCACAGCTAAACCAACGGGCAAGATCTATAATCAAGGCTCCATACTCTATCTTCGCGCCAAGGGTGTAAAAGTTATGCTCTATGGGGAGCATTTTGATGGAACTAGGACGGCTGCTGCTTTTACACCGGATAGGTAGAGATTTTGGGTTCATGGCCATAACATCAGGTGCTTTTAAAATGATTCCATCAAGTATTGTGTCTATTTTAACCATGGCTGGGAGAGAACATACGTCTCTCTAATGTGAACCCATGAAAATATTCTCACTAAATTTAAAGTGTCAGGGAAAGTGTGTTGTCGAAAGAATGGTCCTAAATTTAGCTTGTATAGACTGACTTACATCCTAAGCTCACAACTTCATCCTATCTCAACTTCTGGTAAACATTGACCGATCTAATGTTACTTTGGAAATACCATAAAGTTCCCAAATTCCTCCATCCTTCTCACTCAGCCGAATTGGCAAATTGCATTTTGTGAAGTTGAGCATTGATGTGTAGAAATTGTATGTGTACTCCAACATAGCGAGGAAATTAATAATTGCAGCTCATTATTTCGTTGTATACATTTTGTTCCACCTATTGGCGGATTTTGCGTATAACTGGTCTGAAAAATCCTCCTTCTGCTGGTGTATTGATCCATTTAGGAAATCTTAAACGCTCGAATAGTGACACATCAAAACTCGACTCTTGGAATCTTCTCATAATTGCTTCCCAATCTTTTGCAGTACATTTATTCAGGCGACCTCCATTCTGAGCAAGAAGTGTCATTACTTGATGTGCTTGCTTCTCGATAGACAGATTATAGTAGTAGTATATCTGCATAGCATAACAATCCAGCGGCGTGTGTCCAAGTGAATCCATCATATTCGTATTTATTTTTCTTTGAATAAGGTATTTAGTCATGCTGTGAGAACAGAAATGAATAAGATATGCTGTGTTTGGCACCATAATACTAGGTGAACTCTTACGGATGCCCCAAGCAGGAATTTGCACGGCCATTTCTAGATTTTTAAATCTTTTGATAATATCGAGACATAAAAGAGATAAAGCATTGGAGAATTGATGAGTCCGCATTTCGGTCCGTAACCAGAGGAGAGCGTCAGCTAAGCAGTCAGCATGATTTTCGAAAGGGAAATCATGAGCAGTTAAAAAGTCGATCATCTGCACAGCCTCTTCATGGGTAACTTGGCCATGAGATATTGCATCAAAAACGAATAGTGCGCAATAATCCATGGATCTGGACATGATTGATGGATCAGATTGTACAGCGTCCTCGATAAAGAGGCGAGGATGAGCCTGGAAAGCCAATTGAAGTGGAGATCCCGAGTCCGAATTGGAGGGTGAAAGTCTTTGCGGGTTACACTTTGAATAAAGGTCAAGAGATTGAAATATGGGGCCGTCCGAAAAAAACGAATACAAGCTCCTCCCAGTCGTTTCTTCGGAACACTTGGCATGGCGCCAAAGTTCATATCTTCGTCCGTAACTCCCATTTTCCTCTCCAGGAATTTTGAGAAGGGTAAGCTTTACGAGAAAAGTGTGCCCGTTATCGCTGATAGCATGCGTGCCTGACCGCAGAACAATATTTTTGAACTCTGGCAGTTGAACAAAATCTACAGTCGTCTGGTGCAGTAACTGAAGTTTATGTGGCTTATGGATTCCAATAAGCCCGCCAGTATAAGTTCTCAACAAAGTAGCCCAATGCTCAGGGGTGCGTTCATCCTGGTTCTCAAGAATTTGGCGCAGCTCGGAAAAGCGTGTGAAGTTCAAGCAGCAAAGAATTTTTGGCACATCGGCAAGATAAATCTCATCTCCTTTAGCAACAACTTCAAGTAAACAAAATGCCTCGCGGCGGAAAGATTGAGGTATCCGTTCCACTATGGTGCTGTAGTACTCAACTAAGTCCTCGGGAAGATTTTGCAAAGCGATCCGTAGTTCGCTGGATAGAGCTTCACTGCTGCTACCCGGTAGAGCAGCTGCTGCAGTCTTGGACAAGTCTTGCAACACCAACTTAACCCATAAGAAAACACCCTTGGCTCGCTTCACAATCTCTTCCACCAATTGGAAAAGTTCTTGTGAGCCAGGGCATTCATTGTTTATGACATGGGTGCAAAGTTCGCGGATATCATTGTCGGTATGCTCATGAATCTGAAAACCAGGGCAATTGGGAAACGCGTCCTTGAAGGCATCCCATGGTCGGCTGGAAAAGAGAATCTTGATACGTGTGCGACTGTTTCGTGGCTTTGTTATGTCCTTCAGGAACTCTGCAATAAATTCTGGCGGCCCGTCGTGTTCATCAAGCGCGTCAATGAAAATGCATAGATCTAGATCCATTGATTGTTGATCTCTGACTCGATGTAGGGCTTTCTTCAGATTTTGGAGCGTCCAAATGTCGTCTCCGGTCAAATATTGAGTATTTTCGCGGTCGTGGTGTCCATCTATGAAGCTTCCAACTCGTTCAGTCTTCTTTTGAGTGGCTAATGCTCGTATTGTTGCGACGTTCTGAGAGGCGTGTTTTATTATCGCTTGAATTAATGAAAGGCTATCGGGGGCTTGCTCTAATACTTGGCTGAGAATGCTACGGAGCAGACCCTCAAATGACTTTTGAATGAGATTACCGCGGTAATGGAAGAAGAAATTTGCTTCAACGTGTACAGCTTTACTATACCATCCATGTAATAGCTGTGATGTGCGCGTATCGTTGTAGAGAAATTTCATGAAAGTTGACTTTCCAGAGGCAGGCCGTCCAGAAACCTAGTAGAGACCGTCACCTTTTTGTAGCCAAATTTTTAATCCAATTGAAGGGTCTTCAAATGCCCATTCAAAGGAGCAACCGGCGTTTTTGTCGATCTGCTGCAACCTTTCAGCTCTCTCATCTACCCATAAAGGTTGTGTGACGAACCGGGTCCTATAGGCACTATAGGTTAGCTGTTTCCAAGGGACAAACCTTAGAATAGTTCTATGGTTTATGTTAGCGGAGCGATCAGGTCGGTAACAGGCAATCTTATCACCAGCTAGTAATACAAATAAAAGTAAATATCTATATTCCAATCTAATTATATTATAAACGCTATAGCTGTAATAACAACTAACTATCTAAGTATTCTAATAAGTAACATAAAGTAAACTTATATATCCAGTTATATATTCTAAAGTCAAGTAAAATCGCTCATAATCTTAATCAATTCATTCCTACGTTAATTAAAATTAATGTTAATTCCCGTCGACCGCTTCTTAATTAGCTACGCAACCCGACGTTAATCCAGGAGTACCTACCCTAAAGGCCCCTTATCGCAACCATAAAAGCTGGGTCATAACACAATTCTCCCCCTCCTATTAGTCTTATCCCCAAGACCAGGTAATCTAGCATATAAGTATCCACACCTCCCACTTATAGGTATTTTTCTTATTCTATTACCTATTCGTCGCCAAAATAACTTTCCGCATTCAAAAATCTACTAACTTAGCTAATACAAAAGGGAAAAAGAAGAAACTTAATAAAAGTATAGCACTTACTACTTCTATATTATCGCAATCCATCAAAATAAAACCCTACTTTTATTACAAAAAGAAAGAATCCTAGTATTTAGCTTCCGAAGTTAACTCAAATCGCTACTCAAAATATATTAAAGATCACAAATCTTATTATAAAGCATTTCTTACACCTTAATAATTATTACGTATTTCCCATTAGCGCAACCAGCTTAACAGCAAGGTTAAAGCCATTAAAAAGGAAATCGCAAATCTTATAGCTAAAGTTATTTATCTTCGGAAATAACATAAGGAATAGTCTAAAAAGGCAATACATATAATATCCCAGGGTATTAATAATTTAATAAAGCTAGAGCAGTTAAAACAGAAGGAGCATAAGGCAGAGGCCGCTCTTCAGGCTGCTACAACGCAGTTAGCAAAAGGTTCTTCCAGGGTTATCCCTACTTCTTTAGAATTAGTAGATTATTTAAGGATATTATCAATAGATCCTAAGCTAGCATAATCCCTAGGCTTTAATAAAGTTTTTCTACTAGCACCATTAAGTTCTTAAGGTACTTAATAAGTTCCTATATTTCTTCTTTTTCTTCCCCTTTTTCCTATTATACCCTATAGCATCGTTTGCCATCTTCTCCTATTTTTATTACATTAATATCTTTTACCTCGTATTCTTCTTCATCTCCTTTAATAATAATTTCGTCCTAAATAAATCTTCCAGTTTCTTTATTAATTTATACTTTTTCTAACAGTAAAATATAAAATATTAAATACATATATTTTCCTTGTTTTTCCTATCGTTCTAAAAGTTTAAGTTTATAGTTTACTTCTCCGATTTTTCTTAAAATCTTATAAAGTCTAAGTTTTTTAAAATCAAGTTTATCACTTAGCCTATTCATTTTAATATTTACTTACTTATTTCCTCGTATATATTAGTAAAGCCAGACTATATCCCCTTCCTAAAGGGTTAATCCTCCAATCCTATTTTATTAGTCTATAGCTATAAGCTATAGCTATAGCTATAAGAAAATAGAGCTTATAGC